TCCACTAAAATATGGTACATGTTGGGAGAACTGGATATGATTTCCAATTATATTGTCCTTTGCCATTATTTGAAATTGATAAAAATTCAATGAGACTGGTGGGGGGTTGTGGTTAGTTCTCCTTTTTACAAATAAGGAAACTGGGACTCTGACATTAACTGATAAATCTATGGCTTTATCTATAATATGTGGTAGAACCAGGACTAAAACTCAAATCTTCTAATTCCTGGTCCAGTTTTCTTTTCAATAGTATTCCATATAGACTCATATAATTATTATTTTTTATTATATATCACAACCAGAAAAATCATTTATTCTCAAGAGAAGTGAATCAACTCACTAATTTAATCTTTAGTTTATTATAGACAGGGCGTAGAATGTGGGGCTTGAAATCAAATTGCCTGAATTTGTGTCTCAGTTTTACTAAACCTTGAGCAAATTTGCCCTTCTGAACCCCAATTATAAAATTTGAATAACAGTATTTATCTCATAAAATTTTTTAAAAATTTGTATTTGTTCTTTTTAGTTATACATGACAGTAGAATGTACATATTCTACTTACGTGGAGTGTAACTTCCCATTCTTGTGGTCATATGATGTAGAGTTACACTGGTTGTGTATTCATAAATGAACATAGGAAAGATATGTCCAATTCATTCTACTGTCTTTCCTGTTCTCATCTCCCTTCCCTTCATTTCCTTTTGTCCAGTCCAAAGTACTTCTATTCTAAACACTGTGTGTTAGCATCTGTATATCAGAGAGAACATTGGTCTTTGGTTTTTTGAGACTGGCTTATTTTACTTAGCATTGCATAGAATTTTTTACAAGATTAAGTTAGATTGTACTTGTAGTGTACACATCGTAAGTGCTAAATATATGTTAACTACTATTATCCCTATAGCAAATTTTAATGAGATAGCTTATGTATTATGTATTCCATTAATATTAAACTTTTTTTTACAGAGCTTCTCTTTTCCATAGTTATTTTACTTCTATCATGTTGTTTGATACAAGATGGTACTAGACATTACAGAGATTATATGATATTTAAATCATAAATCATTATGTCATCTCTATGCTTTATTGGCACACTAAAGCTAAGCTTTATTAAAATATTATTTAAGCCAAGAATTTCCCTAATGGAATATTAGGCTGGCTAATTTTTTCCCCTACATTTTTGGCCAAAGGCCTAGAAGCCTTGTGTTTTCAATATATTTTATTGCATGGAATATATGCTAAAAGCTCATTCAAGTGGGAACAAAGAAGAGAAGCTCCTATTTTCAGAGGAAAACTTATCACCCCTAATCATTGCCTTTCACCATCTTCCCTTCTCAGTTTGCCAAGGATATAGGAGACATAGTGCCCAAAACAAATGTTTCACATTTTTAAGGATCTGAGATTGAAGATCACTCAGGAGAAGTGGAATATACATATAAAGTCATGTGTGTCAAGGATCCTAAAATGGATGGGTTAGTGCAATTCCAGTGGGTGTTACTGCTTGTTTTGAATGAGTGGTATGAGAAAATGCCTCTGAGGCTGTATATTATGCAGTCATTTCCGTAGGGAAATAAAACTCGGGCTTAAAAAGTCAGTATTTGGAGGTAATTGCTTATGGCAGAAGATTTTGTTTTATTTTCTTGTTTTAAAAGAAAATTGCATCCTTCTGTGGATTTTTCCTCCCTCGGGAGCAAAGGTAGGGTGGGGGAACTCAAGAATGGTCACGAGTTTCAGTTAAGCAGCTTCTTTTAGTGCTCATGTGACAGAGGAATGGTTTTCTCTCCTATTCCTCCCCACAAAGGAAGAATAGTCAGTAGCCAGCACAATCTCATCATCCTTTTTCTGAAACCATTGGCTATGATTTGGAATTTCTAGCACAAAGTGTTACTTTGAACCGGCTTATACTACCTGGCCACAGTTCTTTTATGTTCCAGGTCCTTGCTTGCTCCAAGGTGACCTAATGCAGAGTTGTCTAGTCCCAGAAAAAAAAGAGTAGATTACTTGCTTGATAGTTTGAAACAGATAATGTGAGAAATGGAGATAGTTGTGGTCCTAGGATCTACACGCCTTAGTCTCAGAGATGGGGGTCATTCATACAGGATGTGTACAAGGTGGAAAAGAAGCACGCAGACATAGGAAAAGGACAGAAAGAAAGAGAAAATGAGAGAGAGATGAAATTGATGGAGTGGATCATCTCTAGACAGATCCCTAGATTTGACCCAGATCTCACTCTTGGAGCCCTGAAAATTCTGATTTTTCTAGATTCCAATACAGAGACAGCTCCTTTGGTCTTTGTCATCATAGAAATGGGGCATTGGAGACCATAGCGTAAATGGCTAATGGCAATTTTCAACAACTCATAGAAAAAGAAGGAATTTAACTCTTAGGTAATCAACATGGAGAATAAATATACCAACTTTCATAATCAGTGATAACACCTACAGAACAAATGTGGAAGTAGAAAGGAGAATAATGATGGCTGACAACTTACCTCATTCCAGATTGTGAATAGCCATAGTGTGATCCTCCCCAAATTGGTCACATTTGCATCGTAATAGTGTTTGGAATACAAACTCAAACTCAGCAGAATATGAAAATGATTCAACACCTAATTCAGAAGTAAAAAGATGAAACCCTCTGCATCTTGGTGGAAAATGCTCATCCCTAGATGACTCACTGCTGATTAAATGACCAGCCAAAAGAAAACAGTGTTTCGAGTCTCTACTGATATCTTTTCAAACAAGATTCAGTTCGCTAAACAAACTTTCCTTTATTTTGAGCTAAGGCAATTCATTCTATGACACTGAAAAACTTGTTTTAGCAATTTGGGATTAAGTAATGTCAGCAAAGATAGGAAGTATGTGGAAATCACCTTCAGTATTTTAAGGTTCCATGCATGCATAACAGAGACATTTGCAAACTTGATTAATTATAAATATCATCTATAATAGTCCCTTGAAATTTGGCAAAAGCATTCTTT